TTGTTTAGTTTTAGTTTTTACAAATTTACAATTTGGTCCCCTTCTGGTTTGGTTAGAAACCTTTTTCCACTGGTATTTTTCTTTCTCTTTTTTAATTAAGTTATAGCTTATTTCTACGGTTGTTCTAATAATATTCCTTAGTTAGAAGAGTCGTTTATTCTGTTGTACCTAAGATTCATATAGTGTTTCATTCAGGTAGTACCACCAGTGATAGCTGTAGCTGTCTTTTTTTTTTCTGGTAACAAATTTCACAATTGAAAAAAGCACTTTTCATTACATTTACATTTCCATCTGTATCTGTATCTACATCTACATTCGTTTTACCTATTATTCTTCTACAGTTTTTTATATTTTACTATTATTGTTGTTGTCGTGTTATAAAACTTATTCCTGTTCTATATCATTTGTGTTAGCGTTAACGTTAAGTGCAGGTGTAAGTGTAACTGTAAGTGCAAGTGTTTTTGTCTGTGTCTCTGTCTCTATCTCTCCCTCACTAATTACAACTACTTCAAAGTTTGTTTGTTTTCCATATCATCGCATTTTATCTGACCTGTGAATTTGTTCAGAAGAAAGAAATAAAATATTGTATATATTTTTATTTAGTGTGAAGTGTGTGTCTCTGTCTGTGTATGGTATGTTTACAAGTAATAGTTCTCTGTCCTTTAGCTATTTTGTCTTCTTTGTCTATTTTTTTTATTTAAGCTGAATCTTATAGGCACAGGATAGCACATCACAGAAAAAAATTTATTGAATTGAATTGAATTTATTTTAATTTTAATTTAATTCAGTTAAATTTAATATATTTATGTATTATTATTATCAACAAAAATATTTTGAAATTAAATTATTTTTCCCCGTTTGGTTTTTGGGGATTTTTTCAGTGTTTGTAGTTTATTTGTTGCTATATTTTTACATTCTTTTTGTTATTTAATCAAGTTTTGTCATTGATTGAATATTTTTTTTTTTCCTTCGTTCTTCTTATTTCTTTGAATTATATAATAATACTTTAGAATTAAAGAAGAACTAATAATATCGAAGAGAGAAAGAAAGAAATAAAAAAAATTTATTATTATATTTTGTTAATATTAAAAAGTTTCGAATTGGTTAAAAAAATTTGTATTTTATCTTTTTGTCTTTAATTCCAAACTCTATTATTTTTTTATTTGATAAATAAAAACTACAACAAGAACAATATTAAGAATAAGAATAAGAATAAGTATAAGTAAGAGATACCAAAATTATATCTTTTATCAATTGCGTCTGTAATAACAATTTTTTTTAGGAAAAAATTGTAGGTTTGAAGAAAAAGTGAAAGGACACTAAAAAAATTTATATTATATTACACTCAGTACAATTTTCTATTTAATTTGGAAAAAATATTATCCTTAAAACAAATATATGAATATACCTATATTTTTTTATGTCTTATAAACTCTTTCTGATATCAAATTTTATTTATTTTATTTTATTTTCCAGATTAACCTAAATTGTTATTCATAACTTCTCATTAGATTATTAAGAAAAAGAAAATAAAAGAAGAAGAGCAAAATCTTTATTGAAGATTCGACTTAAATAAAAAAAAAAAATTGTGACGAATAATAACAAGTATAACAATATAAAGAATACATTTTAAAAGCGACTCAAATAAATGGAAATTGTACCGACTTTTAAAGGATATATCGAAGATGAAATTGATGCTTTGTTACTTATTCAAGCCACCTTACAAGGTTTATTAAACCATATTCCGAGAAGACCTTATGAAATTGAAAGACCAAAATTAATTGTATCAGGAAATGTTTTCATTTTTATTGAAGAAATTTCTGGCATTAAAAGATGGACTGATGGAATATCATGGTCGCCTTCGAGAATTTTAGGTAAATTCCTTATTTATAGGGAATTAAATAAAGTTGCTAAAAATAAGCCAATGTCAATGTCTTCTTCTTCTTCCTCGACTAATAGTAATACTACAAATGACAGCATTAATAATACAATGTCAAGAAAATCTTCTAAAGATGATATACATAGCGAAGATGAATATGTCACTTCAAAAAGTGAATTCTTATATAAATATACAGGATTTGTTAAAAAAACGATCTCTGTAAAACTTTACAATTCAAGTTTATTAAATTCAGAACATACCATCCATATTGTATCATATTACTTAAATGATGACATAAAGAATGGTAGATTGCTTTCTGTCAAAGAATCACCAATGTTTAAATCAATTAAACCTTCAAATGAATTAATTCAAGCAATGGAAGCAACGACATTGGGTAATGGTAAGTTATCCCTATCAAAAAGCGATTTAAATAAGTCATTTAGTGATCAGGCTTCGATCTACTCTGCATCTTCTTCTTCTTCATTAATGAATCAATATGGAAACTCGAATTCTGCATTTAATAGCTATTCTGAGATGACTTCAATTCACTCACTGAGTATGAATAACTCTCATCTTAACAATACTCATCAGCATAAGCATAATAGTCATAATCATAGCACTATTCATAATCAAAATCCATCATACAATGGTACTATTCATAATAATCCAAACGTGCCTAGTCCGAACAATAATCGTATCAACACAAATACCATGGAATATAAAAATTTTGCATATAATACTAATGATTTTAATAAAAAAACTGATATGGGTGCGAATATAGTGGCCAACAATAACTCACAATATTATAATTCAAATTACTCTTCTACTGAATTGTATAGAATACCGAGTGCCATTTCGAATCCCTCGCCAATGAGCGTAAGAGGCGGTAGCTTAAATGAAGATTTAGGCCAGGTGACATTAAACAATGAACATAATCAAGGTTATGCAACTGGCCGCTATATGTATTATAATAATAACGAAGTTGGAAGCGCCAATTACTCACAACAACATTTGCCACATTTGCCAAATCTCCTTTCGGTTAATTCTTCAACAATTAGACCTACTAACTCGAATCATAATATTCCATATCTTACAAACATGGTTCAGCCACGCCAATCTTCAACATTTTTGAATAACTCTCAGTATTATCAAAATAATCCTTCATTCAATAATAATGCTGAGAGTAATAGCTTGGCGCAGCAATATCAAGGATATCAAAATTATGGAAACGGCGCAATTGAGCATGTTGGCACCGCCAATGTAAATAACAGAAACATCATTGGTTATGCAACTTTAGATCAACAGCAGCAACAGCAACAGCAACAGCAACAGCAGCAACAGCAACAGCAACAGCAGCAACAGCAACAATTATTATTACCTAATATTTCATCACATACTGATGATCACAATTATCATTTATCAATGAAATATTCGCATATGAATAATTTACCCCAAAATAGATTTCGGAGTAATGAAATTGAAACAGTTGGTCAAGCTGCATATCCTCATCAAATTGATGAACATCCACCTCACTGTGCATGTCAAAATTGTATAGAAAACGAAAAAGTGAATGCCAAGGCAAGAAATAGTGGTTACAGAATAAATCAAAATGTGATTGAACAACCATCTCAGTTATCAAATATACCACATGGATTTCAACAACCGGCTAGTTTTAATAATCAGATTCCTTCTATTAAATATAGCGGAAATTCACATTTTTTAGGGAATAGTAAGGAAGAAAGTGGAGGACACCATTATCCTTATATGCCACCGATTCATTCAGGGCCACAACATAGTACTTCCACATTAAGCAGTGGTCAATATCAATCTACAGATAGGAATAATCATATTATGAGTAACGACAGTCCTGTAATTAAAGAAGAACCAAGGTATAGGGACTTGTCTAATAATATGAACTAGGTACTATTTAATTTGGCGGTTATTAAAATGCATTCTCGATATTTTATGATATTACATTTATTTTTGTTGTTGGTGGTTGTGCGAATTCTTGCACTTCTATTACGTTTTCAATTTCTATATTCTTTATTTTTTTTTATTTAAGACATCCAAACTAAAAATTATTATGCATTGAAATGGAAATTCAAATTCAAATTCAAACTTAGCTTTGAATATGTATCTGAATCTCAATTATTGACTTATATATGTATATAATCATAAATATTGTAACTTTATAAAATTAAGCATAAATGAATTACATAATGAAATTCGATATAAATAAATATACTATTTTCAAACTGCAATTTTTTATTACGATATTTTTTTAATAATAATATATTATTGTTTTGCCTGTGCAGCATATATTTATTGACTAAAAAATTAATGATGATTTTAATGTATCTCTATTCCAACCACTGTCATTTACGTATTACTTAAACAATCGCCCATAACTATTTTAAAGGGAACTTAATCTGCATTTAAGATGAATTATTACCTCTCATCCAAGACATCTCTATAAAGAAACAAACCAATCATTATAATATATTAAAATAAGACGTACATTTACTTGAGTTGCTCTAATTATAAATTCATTTTATCTGTGGCATATTTAAATAATCATTATGTAACAATTGGATACAGATTCTATCCTAGAGATAAAATTAAGAGGTTCTCTCCAAGACTTCTTTTTAAGCATGAGGTATTCAACTAAATTTATCATACGGAATAGACTTTCAATACTTGGTTTCGATTCCATTTGAAGTCACAACAACATTCCTTGCATGTCTCATTTATCGTTTGTTTAATTAAGTGAGCACCGTTTTATTAAAATATATATTATAGGCCGACACATTCATTATGATACGATTGAATAAAACCTATTACAATACGATATGCAATACATGCAAGAATCCGTTTGTATATTTTAGAATACCTTAAAGTAAGTTGAAATACATTAAAATACGGGTACTAAGTATTAGAAGGTCAAGGAACTTTGAAAAGTAGAACTAGAACGTACCAACTATATTTGTGTATTAAGTATTAGCCCTGAACAAGATAACCCATTTTAAAAACTTTATCGATATTAAAACGAATAATACTATCCACTAATTGGTACATCTGATTTTGGAACGTTACTGTTAGTTGAAGTGTCTGTATTCTTTGTACTATTGAACTCTACTTCAATTTATTTTTTCCTTATAGCGATTTTTATTTTTAAATTTCGAAATATCGATTGTTGATATCGTTTTTGATTGTAAGGAAGTTTGTTATTGCAAGGAGCCCCTCTCTTCTTTTTACATTATTTCGAAATTAGGAAGTCTAACATTTTTGATTATAGTAAAGGTTTAGGTTATTAATTAACTGGATCTTGCTAATATTAGTATATGGTATAGTGATATATTAACATTTATATACGCAATTGTTAACTTATATATAAATATATATATATATATATTTATATTGGCTCTACCAGAGTATCGTTAGCATCTTTTGGTTTAAAACAGCGTGATTGATATTGGAATTGATATTAACAGTAAGTTAAGAATAGTTGTGAAAGCAAGAGAGCGTGTCTGTGCGAGTGTGTGAGTTAGCGTATTGTTATAATCTTTTGTTTTGGTTGGTTCTGTTCGGTTTTGTTATTTCGGTTCTGTACAATTAATTCCAACAAAAGAATTATAGATTTAATATTTTAACCCTCACCGACTAAATATATCTATTAATCATCATCACACAAATATTGATCAAGATTGGGAGTCAAGGTATAGAAGGAAGGTTAATTGCTGATTGATAAAAATTGATATATTTATTCTTTTTTTATTGAATCTATTTAATATTCTGATTCGTTGATTGAATTATTGTCGGCTGCTGAAAATAGATTGGTCAAATTATAATGGAAACTGATGAAAATCAAAATCGGTCAAATGTTAAAAATACAAATGAATTAATTAATAACAAACAAAATGAGTTATTATGTCCAGATGCAACTTATCCTTTAGCATCATCTGATATTATAGAACCGATCAAAAAAATCAATTTTAATAATAAAAAAAAAAAGGTTACATATATTCCAATTACAAATAATTATGAAGAGTATTCAATATTTGGTTTAAAATTAAGTGAAACACAAATTACAGCAATGTCTGGTGCATTAGCTGGATTTGTTTCTGGAGTAATTGTATGTCCATTAGATGTAGCTAAAACTCGTTTGCAAGCCCAAGGTTTGCAATCAAGGGGAGAAAATAAATATTATAGAGGTCTATATGGAACACTTTCTACTATAGTAAGGGATGAAGGCCCTAAAGGTTTATATAAAGGTTTGGTTCCAATATTAATGGGTTATTTACCTACTTGGATGATATATTTTTCAGTTTATGAGTTTTGTAAAACTTCATATCCACAAATATTTCATAAATCAGATTTTGTATCGCATTCATGTTCAGCAATTACAGCTGGCGCTATATCTACCATTATAACAAATCCAATATGGGTGATCAAAACGAGATTAATGCTACAAACTGATATCACTAAAAATTCAACTCATTATAAGGGAACATTTGACGCATTCAAAAAAATATACACCCAAGAAGGTGTAAAGGCATTATATTCAGGTCTGGTACCGTCTTTCATAGGTTTGTTCCATGTAGCTATACATTTTCCTGTATTCGAAAAACTGAAGGTTATGTTTAACTATAAAACAATTACCAATACTGATACAAACTTAGATTTCATAAATGGCAATAATAAGAATCATCAATTACACAGAATTGAATATTCAATTAATTTGAATAGACTTATTTTGGCCTCATGCATATCAAAAATGATTGCATCTGTAATTACATATCCCCATGAAATATTAAGAACAAGAATGCAATTAAAATCAGATTTGCCTTCTTCGGTACAACATAAGATTATACCGTTGATAAAAAAAACTTATGCGCAAGAAGGTTTTAAAGGATTTTATTCTGGTTTTTCTGCTAATTTAATTCGAACAGTACCGGCATCTGCGATTACTCTAGTAAGTTTCGAATATGTACGAAATTTGTTAAGCAATTTAGGAGAAGAGCCAAGGTGAAGTTTTTAAAATTAAGGATAAATTGTAGTATTTTATTTCATAATCGATCATATTCCTACATCTAATTATATCTATTTATATTTATATATTCCAAACACTTCTAGTCCATGTTCATATCATAAAGTATTTATTTAATCCCTTCTTGTTATAATTACAGATAACATCTCGTTGGATTAAACCAGTTACATTATTTGTATTTTACGTAATTTCTAGTTGATGTCGCTACCAAATGTAGTATGCCCTATTATAAAATCCTTCAATTATGTAACTTCTTTGAAATCGATTTCAATTCAAATCTAAAACATTAAAAGTTTTATCAAAACTCATAATGAATATATTTATAAGTCTAAGTAATATTTGTTCTCAAGTTAGCATAAATCTGTGCTTATTGTAAGAATATTGGAATATCTTTTTATCGATATTTTACAATTAAATAGAATCAATGTTGGTTGCCTGTTTAAAACGAATTGTATGTGAAACTGAAACATTTTACACAAAAATACATTTCCTAAGAGCTTTCTATTTTATCTGCACACCTGAAGAATAAATATCATCATTATCTCCATTTTATACTGCCAGTATTTATAAATTTAGTGTCTTATAATAAATATGGTTAATCACAGGTCACGTTATTCATCTTTTTTCGTTAACTAAGCAAGCAAGCACTTCTTCAAAAATATTGAATGGAGATGAGTTCCAACTTTTACTATATATAGATTGATCTAGTAAAATTCAAATAGAATAAAATTCAAATTGAGATATGCTCTTTCTAATTATACAAATCTTATAAATGTGAAGAAAGAAAAATAGCTATAATTTAAACCAACTAAATTTCATTACCTGAAAACAAGGTATAGAATAATATTATGCTGCTTTTTTCGTTATTACTTATAATATGTCAGATATTTGTAAATATTAGAATAGCGGTTGCTTCAGAAGTCATACTAAATGAAATTGATGAAACGTTCCCCGATCCTCTAACAACTGCTAACTTCGATGATGAATTGTTGAGTGGATTACATATAATAGACTTCTATAGTCCATACTGCTCACACTGCAAGCATTTACAACCAGTTTGGAATGAAACTTGGTATAAGTTTAGAGAAGAAAGCAAAAAATTAAAAATCAAGTTTTCTCAAGTGAATTGTATTGAAAGTGGAGATCTTTGTCACAGAGAGAAAATTAGAGCTTATCCCAGTATTAAATTATATAATTCAGAAGGATTTTTAAAGGAATTTCCTAAAGATAAAAGAAGAACAGTCGACAATTTAATAGAATTTGCTAGAAATGAGTCATTAAGCTATTCCTCAAGTAAATTAAATGATAATTTGGATCTATCTGAAAAAAGTGGACTATTGAAATCCTCCGAAATTGTATCAATATTAGCTGGGAATTCGTCAATACCTCACATTGTATCATTTTGGCCAAATGATCAATGTATGAGTAATGGAGGATTGATAAAATATAGTAATCAAGATGGTAACTGTGAACCTTTTGTAACAGCTTGGGAGGATATATCTAAGAGAATATCATTAAACGGCATTCAAGCAGGACATGTCAATTGCGTTGATACACCTACATTATGTTCAAAAATTGGTGTAGATAGCATGATTAAACCAAATACTGATACAAATATATACCCAAAAGTTGCATTAATACTTCCAAATAAAAGAACAAATAATATTTTCTTTTATACTAAAACTATGAATACGGTTGTAGATGATTACGTAGATTTTGCAACAAGACTATATTCAAATAGTCAATTCCAGGACGTCACATTTGATGACATAGAGAAAATGGTCTTAAGAGATGCTAATTTTATAGATCCTGAGACTCGCAATAAAATATATTTGGTGTATTCCTACGATAAAGACACTAGCTTCGAAGAGGATATGAATATACTGGAGTACATCCTAGAACCTTTGTCTTCAATTGATAACATCTATCTATATAAAACTAATTCCAATTTATTTCCATTGGTTGATTCTACGTATGACAGTTTTTATAAGTCGATTAACTATAATTCAACTGAACCAGAAAAAACACCAAATGAAGAATATCATGCCTTAAGTGTAATGACCCAACAACCTACATTTTTCATATTCAAAGATGGATCTTCTCTTCCTTACGTTTTTTCTGCACCAACTACAATGGAATCAAGAAATGAAGATAAGGTAATTGATTGGATTGAAACATATTCTTTACCATTTGTTAGTAAAGTGTCTGACTCCAATTTTAATAAAATAATTAATAAGGACATTAATGATTATAACATTCTGTCAATACAAATTATTGACACATCGAGTGAGGAATTAAAAGCTGAAAGTAAAAAATATCTCGATAATATGTTGATATCTTTTTATGATTTTGAATATGCAAGAATGAATTATTCAATAGATATGTTGAATATGAAAAGGAAAATAAAATCAGATAACATTATGCGTTTACGTGCTAAGAATTTACCTCCAAAATCCATCCATGATGAAATGACTAAGCAAATTCAATATAAGTCTGAGTTAGAAATGCTACTTGCAACATATGATATATCAAAAGGCTCTACATTTTTGAGTTCAATAGGAATTGACTCTCAAACGATGGATTTTAATGTTGGAGATGTGATCTTAATTGAGAGAAAGTCTGGAGATATTTTTGTTGATGATATCTATGGGGCTCGTCTGAAAAGTAACTCGCCTTATGTTTTACGTGAAACCTTTAAAGCTGCTTCAGGGTTCCCTCATTATGAGTTTCATCCTTCAATTAAGAAATTAAATACATTTGATTTTGCTCATTTGAATAAAATCAGTCAAGGAAGTTTGATTAATATTATTTTTGCTTTATTTTTTGTTCTATTTGTAATTCTTATCTGGATAAAGAACAAGCATAAATTTCTCAGAAGATTACATAATATAACCAGGGCTTCACAAAGAAACTCAGAAGGGATTTTAGGAAACAAGGCTAGTTTTAGAGACTGATTAGTGTTCATTTAAATATGGAGTTAAAATACATATTTTCTATAATCAAAAGTTTCACTCATTGAATTTTCAAATATATAAGATTATATGAAATGAGGTCTTTCGAATCGCTATTTGGGGTAAATGTTTAGAAATAGGAAGTCTATTAATGCAGCATACAAATTTAATAAGAAGTATGTTATATTTGGAGAATTGATTCTTAGTTTCGATGAGTTTGAAAAATTATGTTATCCATACCCAAAAAAATAATAGAATGACAATGAAAAAGATAATTAACCAAGTTTTAATACTAATCCTTGAATTTTTGGCCATGACCATCATACTATCAAACGTATTTTTTAATTTAGCTGAAGCATTGCCAAATGTGTCTTCTAAATTGTCAAGATTTTTATTACTACCTCTTATTTCATCTCCCATTTTCATAGATAACGCCTTTAATGCTTTTATCTTTTCACCCATTACACCCATGTTCTCTTCACTTTGTGATTCTAGTTGAGCAAGAGTACTCTGTGAATAATCCAATTTTGTGGTTTCATATGGAGATTTCAAACCATCTGAACTATCAACATCAGGACCAAATAATTGTGATCTATTGCTGTCACGCTGATGTAAATTGGAATTGTTATATCTAAGTAAAAATTACGTTAGTATAAGGATATAAATCAATGAAAACACTTTTGATGTTGTTTGTTTATTATTTTAAAACTGAAAAAAAAGATAGGAAAAATTTGATTTTATTTGGAATAAATATCGAGAATTTAATATTTATTAAGCTATTTATTACTATTATTAGCATTTTCCGTTTTATCTATCATTTAGATGTTGTTATTTTTTTCAGTTTTTAATTTATACGCACATACCTGTTATTCATCGTAATAATTGCCTCCCTGTTATGTATTTGTCCATAAATACAATTAAATTAAAATAATCCCAAACACCTAGTTTCCTTTATTGGATTGAGCAATCTTTAATACATCTCGAAAACTTTTGAGATAAAGTCATCACAACAATTCGAAACTGGTTTTTATTACACTATCTAATTAACCTTTTTCGAATTTAAAGTTTGATTTAGAAAATATAGTCATGAATAACGACTGCTTGATATCTCCCAGCCCTTCCCCGTCCATCACCACAGGTAACTAATGAAAAAGAGAGAAATAAGAGATACAATAGCGATGATGAAGTAAGATATTTAACTAAGATGATAAATGTATTTAATTGATAATCAAAGGATGTTGATTTTTCTTGTAAATACAGATAATATATATTTTTTGCAGTAAGATTCTTATAGAATCTTATTAAGTTGTATTGGTTGGATTCAAAGTAGAAGTCAATTGGAAATTGAATAAGATGGAGAAGACTAACTCCGATGATGAAATTACAAGAACTCTTGCTCAAATTAAGCATATTATTTTAATTCTGTCTGGTAAAGGTGGTGTAGGTAAGAGTTCAGTTACCACTCAAACTGCATTAACGTTATGTGCACAAGGCTTCAAAGTTGGTGTCCTGGACATTGATTTGACTGGACCTTCTTTACCTCGTATGTTTGGTATTGAAGATAAATCAATCTATCAATCAGAGGAAGGCTGGATACCGGTGCCAGTAGATGTTGGAAGTGAAGGTTCCTTGAGTCTTATATCACTTGGGTTTCTTTTGAATAGCCGAGGAGATAGTGTTGTTTGGAGAGGTCCTAAGAAAACTGCTATGATAAAACAATTCATGAGTGATGTAAAATGGGGGCAATTGGATTATTTACTGATTGACACCCCACCTGGCACTTCTGATGAACATATATCCATCGCAGAACAACTCCGATGGTCAAATCCTGATGGTGCAATCATTGTTACAACACCACAGGGAATATCCACTGCAGATGTCAAAAAGGAAATAAATTTTTGTAAAAAGGTTAATTTTAAAATCTTGGGTATTGTTGAAAATATGTCTGGTTTTATTTGTCCATATTGTGCTGAATGTACAAACATTTTCTCTAGTGGAGGTGGGAAAAAATTGGCAGAGGAGTTCGATGTACCATATTTGGGGAATGTGCCAATTGATCCAAAATTTGTAGAGATGATCGAAACCCAGGATAAATCAAATGAAACATTGTTAAATTTATATATTAACGCCTCACTATACCAAATATTTCAAACTATAATTAAAAACATAACAGATCAAAATATCCCTTCAAGATCATGAGATTTTCTGTCTGAATAGAAATATTCTTTCTCGTATAATTAATTTGATAACTAATCTATCTCTTTATAGAATAAACCTTCGAAACTTTTTAGCTTGTTTATTTCTATTTTTAATTTACTTTGACAGCAAAATGGGGAGGGGGGGGAAGCACCACATTTAATGTTTTGCTTGAAAATGATAAAAATAAATTTTTGGCAAATAAAACTAAAAAATTAATATAATTAATGCATTAACGAAAATCAACTATTATATGTTTAAGTGTATATTGTACTTATTTTATTTAATTATTTTTCTTTTCGACAGAGACATGTCTTTTTGATGAAACAACAAAAAATATAACAAAAATCACCCATGTTCCAATTATTCCGTAAATGGAACTTATATATACCCAGGCGTTAGTAATTTCCCAACTTCTTGGATATTCATCATTTGCAAGATGACGAATTGCCTTGACATCGGATTCAGATACAAAAGTCAAACCCTCTCTTTTATAGTTTGTGGAAAATGTAAAAACACCATGGTGGTCTGGTAGCTTGAACTCACCAGATGTGTAATACTGAGTTGTTTCGTCCTTATGTGCCTGTTGCAAAGTTAATCTATAGTATGGATCAACCATGCTCAATTCAAACTGAATATCATTTGCAATGAATGGTACCCATTTCTCACCTGTCCACTCAGACAAACCAATCTCATAAATTACTGTATCCTTAATTTTATATGGCAAAGAACTATAGCTTGTACCATCAGAGTGCGTATGAGTGGCACCAGAACTTTTAATGACGCCCTTTTCCCTGAAATTCCATTTGGTTAATTCTTCAATAAATTCACCATTGGTGTTGTAATAGTGGTTCTTGAAAAAATCTTGGCTACCTACCCAAACACTTCGAGCATTTACTAAGTTTTGGAAACCAGCAACCAAAAACCCTTGTGAGCCAACAGTCCAAGATTCTTTATTCTTTAATTCAGCAGATGTTCTTCTTGGTGCTTTCAAAATTGGCACTATTTGTTCTCTATTATCCAATAACGCAGCACCACTGTTTTGAATACAAAATGCTTCTTCTCTTAAACAGAGTATACACGATTTGAAAGTAAGTTTTCAGATGATACTGATACTTTTTCTGGGATATCTTCAAAATAATCTGTCAAAACGTAATCTTTAGGACTTGGATAAACCCCTAATTCATTGAGAAAGAAACGGACAGAATCAGTGACAGCATCTGGATTGGTTACAGTTAAAATGTCACCTCCATTTTCATAAAATTGTAAGAAACTCTTCACAGGAATTAATTTGTTTAAGTGCTTCCCCTTAACTGGGAAAACAACCAAATTGTCGTACAATCTATCTTCTTTATCGAATAAAGGAATTGATTCTGTATCATTGCCAATTTCTTGATATAGTAATTCATAAGAACGATCTTTCAAAGATTTAAAAAATCTTGAATACTCATTCAATTCTGTTAACCTTTCATCATATAGCACCAAGGTCTTTAAAGGATGTATAGATAAGGCATTCACTATAAATGAAAGTCCAAATAATAGAATTCCTAATATATTTAACATTGAATGCAGAATCTATGTATAATTAATCTTGGGTATTATAATGTACAATTGCCCAATAAGGGAAGAATCTACCTTTTATTCTTTAGCTTAAACTACATTTTGCTTCCTTCTGTATTTATTATTCCCATTATATTTAAATTTTTCAATCTGAAATCTTTCCATAGCTGAATCTCGCACTAATATGAAAAGCGAGGAACTTCGTCTAGCTAATGGGGAGAAACCAAGAGATCAAAATATATTAGTAGTCAACTGCTTACTGGGTTGGCTAACTTGCACATTTAATCAAACAGGAGAGACAATTGTCTCAGAAGATGGCAAACTTTTAACAAATTGTTTAAGTTTGAGTACTCAAAAAATATATGACCTCTTGTATTTTTATTAACCGTTATTATATTTATATATATATTTACATATATAAGCCTCGTCTCAGTATCATCGATTCTTGTTCATCTAGGTATAAATAGAGAGTTACTGTCATCTTTAACAAATGGATTAGAACTCCTATTAGGGTTTAAAATCACTGTATTTGCATCAACGTCCAAAATAACTTTTGCTTGCTTACCATTTCCAATCCACCATTTCTTCAAATCAGAACTTGGGGGTGGTAACTTCATCCCTCTTTTTGCATCAAGAAGCGAATTAGATGTCACAGTATGTTTTGGCTGGAGTAACTGACTATCAATATCATCAAGAACTAATGATCCTTCACTTAGCAATGTTAATTTCTCCTCTTCATTCAAACTAACTAATTTTTTAGTAATTGTGTCATAAACTTCCTTAGATATAATTGATTTCTTTTGTTCATCAACAACTGTAACCTTAGCATTAAAAGTTGCATACACTGGTCTATGATCAGAGTAAATAATGTCCTCCGCACAACCATAACTCAGCTGATTTAGTACTTCTCCCCTACTTAATATACGATCTGTCCAAGCAGGAATTCTCATTTTCTCACTTGTATCATAAACTTTCGTTCCTGGATTAAATTTATAGGTTGGAGGAAATTTTATTTCCATCTCGTGATAATAAGGGAAAGAAGCACCAGCAATCATTTGCTGGTTTAGTTGGTCCCTTTCGAACAACTTTGCAAATTCCTTAGCAGTAATTAGTTTTCTTACCTCTTCATTTGACATTAATATCCTGTAGTTAAAGTCACCCATCCATATAATCGCATCGTGATCTTTTATTCTTAAGCCTTTAGAAAATCTTATGTTTTCAACAATCGTCTTATAATCACTATGCCTTTGCTCCACATTATCAAGCCCTGCAGCTAAATGAGATACAATTACACAAAACCTAGTTTCTGAATATTTAAAACTAACCGAAGCTGCACCTTTATTAGATGCCATACCACCGAAACCAGTTTTCTTAACATCACCCTCAATATGTTTAACCTTCATGTATTCAGATTCACTTATAAACAAAAGCAGCAGAACACCACCAAGTTGACTACTCCACACACAAACATATTTTTTTTCTTTCGATTTACTATTGATCAGATGCAACACTTTTTTCTCCCAGTATTGCTTTACATAGGGATCAGTTGATAACATATGACCAGGTGTTAGTTCTACTACCTCCTCCAAACCAATGATATAAATATCAGCTGTTCCATTAATTCCTGAATTTTTAGGGAATATCCAAGAATCAATGCCGTCTGAAGATATCTTACCACTTGTGTTGAAAGTTCCTGAAAATATTGTAATCTCTTTCTCACACGAAAAAGTTCCTTTCATTTGTCTCAAATATCTCGAAATATAAGAGTTCAATGGGTCATATAATTTCACCCTTGAACTAAATAATTTATAATATACCTTCCTGAATTTTCCTAAATTTTTTGTATTCTTCGTGTACATCCTATCCAACCAATAATAATTTTCTGTCCATAATTTATCATGAGTATCGATAAATGTATTAACAAGTCTAAACTCTGGGACCTCTTTTGTAGCCAATTCTAATACTTCTTTACTCACTAGCTTCTCAACTAAAGTAGTTCTCTTTACTGAATCAAATGAACTTATTCGCAAAGCACCAGTCTGCTTCCCAATATATATTCCTCGAGTTCTATCATATATAAATGCACCAAATTCATAAATATCTTGTTCCAATAAATACAAAAATTTGTGAGGGGAATTAGCAAGGTTATCCGAACTTAATTGAACATTAGTGATTTTAATACCCTTTATATCCGCACAATGCTTGTATGCATTCGATATTATTTCTTGAGATTCGCTTCTAGGTTTAACAAGGTTGACAATACTAACTACTCCATATTTTGAAGCTAAATTATCAAAATGTCTGTCAAAAGCAACTTGCATATTTTCAATCTCTTTCGTAAGTCTCATTTTTTTCCCATATAAAATTTGACTATCAATCACTTCCCAAAATAAAGGCACATTGGCGCTTATCTGAGTATATGAATATATATAACTATCCGTGGTTACAATCACTTCAGTTTCAACAAAATTTGATACTTTTCCATCCTCTTTAATACCTTCAATCTCAAAAGTATCCTGTTTATTTTCTGTAGAAATTCTAGATATCACAGTTATCGAGGAATAGAAATCAGAGTCCTCCACCATCGTGGTTTTACAAAATCCACGTATTAGAAATGTTAAGAATTCACTTCCATCGAATATTTGTTTCTGTTCAATCGGAATTCTACTTCTCCAGGTTACAATTTCACTAACTAAAGTCTTATTCCAAATAAAATTCAAATCTTGATTTTCGATAATATAATCCAAATTATGAAATAGGCTGTGATTTTTTACCTCATTTGAGATATCATAGTCTCTAGAGTAATAAAATGTACCATCACTAAACAGTTTTTTAATCGAACCACAAGGGTGCTCATGGATAAGTTTTTCTGTATTTTGCTCCGAGACTTCATAAATTAAATGATCATAGGCTGCAGTATCCAAACTATAAAAATCAACATCTAAAACTTTAAATATACTTTCCATAGGTATAATTCTATTATTTTCATACTTCCATCTCGGGAATCCTACCTTCTGAATCCCTGAAATCACACCAATGTATATCTCACCGTCTACAGATAGAAGGCCAAGAAGACCATTAAATATTCTGCTTTTGACTTCCGTATATTTCTCAGGTATAAGATCTTTATCTGATATTTGCTTTATTGTGATTATTGGAGTTTGTGAAGTTTGTTGAGATGCTGCTGAAAAGGCTTTTTGGAACCTTTGAAAGCAGATATTGTAGCCATTCGAAGAAACCACAATTTCTCTAGGTTCTCTTCCCACATATAATTTCATTCAAACTTTTTTTAATCAATAACAGAAGTATAGGCCAGCTTAATGTATCTGCTTTATATGTTGTACTCACCTTGGTTAAATCATTGAGGCAGGTCCAAATATATATAAGCCCAGTCTGCTTTCCATTTAAATTATATTGTTATATTTGGGAACTCGTATATTTATTTTTTGCTTTTTCCATATGCTAATTATTACGCGTAAAAGGTACCTTTGATAAATTACCCGTAATTTCAGGTTAATATACTAAAGAAGAATGTAATTAAAAGAAAATTAGAAGATTGAAAGGAATGAAACTCATGTATATAAAATTATATCATTTTATCCTAAACGTTTTCGAAGGTTGACACAAATACACAAGATAATTGAAGGTTAAACAGAAATTGCAGCCTTGACAATAACGTAAGAAATAATTATCTAGTCATGTGATCCAAGATCATATTTATTGTTAACTTAAATAAAATTTCAAAATAAAACATAATTTTACAACTAAAAATAAATAAGCCTATGTCTAATATAAAATCTCCGAACAAGTTTAGTGGGTTGAGATGGAAGAAACTGTAACGTAATCATGTTAATGGAGAAGTAACGTATATGCTAGTATTAAATTATATTTTTACTGCGATTACATTTATTTATATTTAAAGGTGGTAAATGGTAATTATTCCTTAACCGACCCAAGAACTTCAGCAAATACCAGAATAATCATGTTATGGAGTTTTATTTTTTATGAATCTTTAATTTAATCAATGTTTATTTAGCGTTACCATGATATCATCTATAATATAAATATATATTTTCTATAGGCTAATCATTTATATTGTTGGTTCAGAAAAGGCTCTGTAGGTTGTGAAAGAAGAATCGTCAGTTTCCAAATCAATAGAGGTGTTTGGAGCAACAAAGAAGACGAAACCTGGTTCTGCTTTAATTCTAACATTATCACCAACAATAAAACCGTTACCCTTTGTGGTAATGATTATACTTGGACCGTCAACGCCTTCAAAGTGTCTAGTACCAACACTGTTGGTGAAGGTAGTTTCAAGGACTGCAAATTCATCAATTGGAGGATTGTACAAAGTTGATTTACCGGAACCGGATGACCTTGCGAATTCTTCTGGTTTCATTTTTTGGTCTTCAACTGGATCATAAGAGTAAGTTAACATGGATACTAAGTTTTTGACATCCTTAAATTTTGGAGTAAACCCAGCTCTAACGACATTATCAGAAGCAGCCATACATTCGATAATATCACCAGAAATATAAGCGTGTGGGTCCTTGGCCTTTAAGAAAATTGCTTCACCAGATTGCAAAGTACAGTGATTTAACATCAAACCACCACAGAACAAACCAACATCATTAGGGAATTGTTCATTCAATCTGATTAATAACTCTGGCAATTCCTTACGAGCGAAGTCAGCTGGATGGTTCTGAGCCCTTTCAATCAATAATTTTGCTTGAGTTTCGATTTCTGCATCGGTGGCATTCATAACCTTACTGAAAATAGATTGTAACAACTTTCTGTTTTCAATATCTTCTTGTGAACCATTCTCAACATTTGGTTTAATATTGTTAATAAAATTATCAGCGGTTTCCTTACCTACAATTGCCAAAAATTCTGGTAAAGTCTTCAATTCTTCAGCAAGTTCTTCCAAAGGTTTAAAACCACAGAAACCTTCGAAATCTGTTACAGCAATGGCCATTTCTGGTTTATGATTGTCATCTGGATAATTAGCTGGATCTTGAGCACGCAAGATTTTAGCTAAACTCTTATCTGGATGTGCTTGAATAGATAAAACCTTCTTAATAGAAAGAACCTTAAATAGGAATGGAATTTCACTTGTTGATTTATATTGAGAAATAATACCATTACCCAACATAGTTTCTGGTTTTTCTGAAATTAATTCATTTAAAGTTTTTTGATTAGTTTTACTTTTAGAAGGTACCTTTGGGTGAGTACCCATCCATAATTCAGCATAAGGTTCATTTTCATTAATTTTAACAGTAGGATCGGAATGGGCAGAAAATTGTGCAACAGCTGAAGTAGAACCAATTTTACCCCAGTCGTATTGTTGGTAACCAGCAATCAATTGAAAGACTTTATCACTCATGATTTAATCAATATCTTTATACCTGTATATATTATTTATATATAGAATATATTTTTCAACTTTAATAAAAATATATCTAAATAAGATACGAAAATGAGTTATCTAAAAGAATCCTTAGCAATAAATATCAGAATGTATTTGTTTATATATAAATATCGTTTTTTTTTTCGTTCTTTTATGAAATTTCAACAAGAATTAGAATGAAAAAAAATTAGATAAGTGAACGTTTTTTATTTTCATCTTTTTTTTATTTTTTTCTTGAGGAAGGACTTCAATAAGAAGAATAATGCAGCAGAAGCAGCATCGGAAAAATATAAGAATTCTCCCCGAAAGTAATAAGTTCGATATTTTAGATTTAAGTGATAGTAAGATTTATTATAGAACTGTGTTATTTCAGTAAGATACCGATTAATTCAATTCGAAATCATCGATATATATCGATATATGTAGCGCTTACTTATACAGTGCCTTAACGATAAATCAATAGTTCATAAAGGCAAGCAATAAAAAAAAACCTAGTTTGTATAGCTGATACGGTAGGACTAAAGCCGCTATAGAGATATGACGTCTCTTTTATTTCTTTTTTTCCAGTTCTTTTTTCTTCCTTTAACCACCCATTTACTATACTATATAACAATTCTTTAAGAAATTACAGAAGGAAAGTATAAAATTGACTATTTTTAACACCATTATCATCAAAGCTAATTAATATCAGTTTAGTTTATAATGGATGAGTTGGAATGAATAGGATGAATGAGATCATTTCTCGGCAAACAAGTTGCGAAACCTTTCTACACATAACATCTTTTATTTCCAGACAAGCAGCTAGCGACTACTAAATTATATTAGCTACTATTGAAAAATTACTGTTAGCAGTTATTTATATCGTTGCAAGGAGAGAAATATGTATCGAAACCAAAAATGATGAGAGTTTTGTTCGTTACTATCCGTCTTAATGGGGAAGTAGTGGGTAAAATGACAACAGGGTTTAAATAAGAATTTAGTTTATGTTTTTTTGTCTATACTATTTATCTTACTCTCTCTAATTTCCTTCTTCTTAATTATGCTTGTATGAATGTTTGATAATCATAGTAAAAGAAATAAATAAGTGTCGCCATCTTATATACACTTTTATATGATATCCTTATAATTTGTAATATAAATCATGTTGTCGGAGATAATTCTAATCGATGCAAGAATGAAAATGTGGTTGCTGATTCTAGATTAAAATTAGTTAGACATTAAAACAAAATCACTTGGTAGTTGACCGTCATTGAAATTTTTTAAGAGAAATTTGTAATATAGAATTTGATTAGTTATTACATTATCTCGGATAATAAATTAACTTTTTTATCTTGTGCCTAATATTTTAGAGTATGTATGTACCTTCTAATTAAATAATCGGAGTTATTTTATAAAATAATTGCTTTCCACATGCACACACACATATATATATGTCTTGCTAATTTTTACCGCTTTAGTTTATAATCATAACTGTGTTCTAATAACCCCTAGATAGGTCAATCGTGGAGTTTTTGTATTGATTAGTATTCAAAAAAAACTGAAGTGGTAATTTTATGAGATTAGATGCAATTCTTAAAGTTATTTCCTCTTTACTGTCATTAGTCAAAATTAATGACTTTGAAGAATTTTCAATGCCTATAGCATTGTTTGTTATTAACACATTGTTAGATAAATACTTTTCTTTAGTCCAAACATGCTGGCTCCAATCTAATACTGTTGTTATTTGTTATTTGAAAGATTGAATGGGAATATAAAAACAAAGATCGGGCAGTAAGTGCTACTTCATATTATTTTACTCTTCTTATGTTAAATATATGGTTTAATAGCAACAATTTCCAATTATTTAAAATATATAATTATTAGATAAACGGAGAATATTCCAACAGTTCTCAATATTTCATCTTTAATTATTTATTAATTGTGATTTATTTAAGTTTTTGTGATATTATAGTTTTATGTATATTCATTACTTTTTACGTTTTTACCAAAGAGTGAATTAAAGTAAATTAAATCATATTAGATTATAATATAAGAACCAACTCTATCTGTTCTATTAAAGGAAGTAATTTCTAATATGAATACTTGGTATCATAAATTATCACATAACTGCCCTTACTAATCTATCCATAATGATATGTTAGCTAGTTTCTAGTTCGAACAGAAGTTTTTTTTTCAAGAATTCCAGAATGTGAATTTTTCAAATCAGTATGTAAATTTGTCCAAATTTGAAAGGGAGGAAAAAGGAAGGAGGCTGTATTGTATGTAATATTATAAAAATAAAGTTATTTTCATGTTAAATATATCGATAAAATGAATTATCGATTGAATTGGATTGGATTGAATTGTAAACTTTACTTGGGAAACATTACAATAATCAATCTTCTTCCTTTTTTTATTGGTTTGATTTTTCAATTATATATATTATTTGTGAGTGGAATCAAAATAGTTCATCGCATTTTATTATAATTTTAGTTTGGTTAATAGAAATCACCTCTCAGTGTCTGTCTTATTAGAAAAAAAAAAACAATTAGGTGAAATGAGTGCATTAGTTTTAGGTGCAACAGGTTTATGTGGTAGTTTTTTTGTAAAATTTGCTGAAAAAGCAGCTAAATTTACTTCTGTAAATACAATTACAAGGAGAGAATTAGATTTTGAGTCAAAAGCTAATCAAATAGTCGAAAAAGACTCAACCAAGTGGTCAGAATTAATTCCAGACGATACAAAATACTTATTTAGTGGTTTAGCTACTACTAGAGCCGCTGCTGGCGGTTTAGATAATCAATATAAAATTGACTATGATTTAAATATTGAGTTGGCAAAAGCCGCAAAGGAAAAGGGATGTTCAACTCTTGTGCTAGTAAGCTCTGCTGGCGCAAATGAACATTCTTGGATTGCTTATTTGAAAATGAAAGGTGAAATAGAGAGAGATATGATTAAGTTAGGTTTCGATCATACAATTATTTTACGTCCTGGTGCTATTTTAGGTGAAAGAACTTCTCATCATAAAGGGTTTGGTAATGATTTTGGTGTATTTGTTGGTCGTATGTTCTACAGATCAAAATGCCAATTTTTGGTGAAGTATCCTGTCTATGCTGAAGAAGTAAGTAAAGTTGGAGTACATTTAGCTTTGGAAAACTCTGACCAAAAAGTTCAAATAATTGAAAGTTCAGAAATCTTAGAAATTGCTAAAAATTTAGAATAGATAAATTTACAACATTTTTAATTTATCATAATAATCTCCCAAATTCATAATGTTCTATATGTATACCTATTTAAGGATATTTATATGTTAGCTTAAATATCGAAACTTCCTTTTTACTTACAATAATGTTATCATAGATTATTATTTCACTAGAAAACAATTATAAAGTTCGAATGCTTTTACTTAAATAGTCCCATTCTGTTGAGTTATATACAGATAATTGGGTTAAAACGATTCTTGAATCAATTTAATCTTGATTAATTTATTATTGCCTTTCTTCCTTATGCACTTTTTTTTTTAACATTTGATGTATAATAAAACAAGCATAATGAAAAATTAACGGCCAGCATAGCATACCATGTAAAGAGAAGAAGTATAGAAAAGTTTAATTAAAAAGATATTAAAAAAAGACTACTTCAAGATAACTTTAATACTTGGGTTTAATCTTTGAATCTATATCATATTATGAATATAAAGTATCATATACTTAGTGCCTAATGTCGTCAAGTTTAGAGAATTCGGATTCGTACGGTATAGTTATTGATGCAGGTTCATCTGGATCGAGAATTCACATTTACAAATGGTCATTATCTGTGCCAAATGAAGACAATACAGCAAATGAGGGTGGAATAAAATTGTCACACTCTGTACCACAGATTTATCAAGATGATGAATGGACATCTAAGACTACTCCTGGTTTATCAACTTACGAAATGAAGCCAGATAAGGCCTTTTCGAAACATGTCAAGCCATTATTAAAGTTTGCAGAAAAATATATACCAAAAGATAAACTTAAGGAGACACCAGTGTTTTTGCAAGCCACCGCTGGTATGAGATTACTTCCAGTGGATAGGCAAAAAAAGATTTTACAAAACATTTGCAAAGGTATTAAACAATCTACCGGATTCTTAATGGAAGACTGTAATTCACAAATTCAAGTTATAGATGGTGAAACAGAAGGGCTATATGGATGGCTAAGTTTAAATTACTTATCGGGATATTTTAATAATTTCGATGCTTCTTCACCAAGCCACTTTACATTGGGCTTTATGGATATGGGTGGGGCTTCTACACAAATCGCATTTTCACCCAGTGATAAAGAACAAGTTAAGAAGCATTCAGATGATATATCTAACGTATATCTAAGGAGTATCAATGGTGATATACAGCAGTGGGATGTTTTTGTAAGTACTTGGTTAGGTTTTGGGGCAAATCAGGCAAGAAAGAGATATTTCTCACAACTAATTAATTCATTACCTGAAAATACAAATGATTACGATGACGATGACTTCGTTACAAGGAAAATCTCAGATCCATGCATGCCAAAAGGCTCAGAAACAAAATTTGAATTCAAAGGAAAAAAGTTTACTCTCACTGGGTCTGGTGACAATGAACAATGTTCTAAATTAATATACCCGCTTTTATTGAAGAATCTTCCCTGCAATGATGACCCTTGTTTATTTAATGGTGTACATGCTCCACAGATTGATTATTATAATGACAAATTTGTCGGTGTATCCGAATATTGGTATACCGCCAATGATGTATTCAAACTAGGCGGCGAATATGACTTTTATCAATTTAGTACAAAGGTAAAGGAATTTTGTAATACAGATTGGGATATAATAAAAAAGAACAGTAAAGATGGTATGTACAATTCAATACCAGATTCCTTTCTAATGGACTCATGTTTCAAAGCAAACTGGGTTCTAAATGTTCTGTATGAGGGTTTTGGGTTGCCTCGCATAGACGTTGACGAATTAAAGGATACATCAGCTAATGCCAATTATCCTCTATTTCAGAGTGCTGATAAAATAAACAATAGAGAAGTATCATGGACTTTAGGTAAAATCCTACTATACGCTTCTGGAACAATTCTTGCAGGTGATCAGAGTATAAATGTCGGAGTTGAACCAAGCTCAAATAGTGCCATTAATTTTGGGAGCAAATTTATCATGGGAGGTTTAAAGAGGATAGATAACAGAAGTAGCCATTCTTTAGGTGTTTTGAGATTTTTTTTTATAATCATGACGATATTCATAGTTTGGTATTTGGTTCTATCCAAATCCCAGACCTTCAAAGATATATCAATTAAAATGGAATTTCTAGGTCTTATTGAAAAAATCAAGTTTAAATTGTCTAGACATCAATATTATAACGAATTGAGCAATAAACTTTCAAAATTAGAAGAAGGTATCAATGTAGAAGAAGACATTTCTTACAATCTAGATTCTAATAATGATGTAAAGCTAAGGAGTAAAAGTATGTTCAACCTAAATACCGACAATCACAGTAGATCTGGATCCAACAGACCACATGGTAAAAGTCCTTTGGCCTCAAAAGGAAATAATATTTCAAATTCTCCATTATCTTTGACATCGTCTGATCCAACCAAATTAAGACCAACATTTTCATTAGCTGACTTTTCAAAGTACAAAGATGGGAAGTCAACTGATTAGTAGAGAAATCATTTATATTATATCTACAATAATTTATCTTAAATATTTATAAGATTTTTATGTATCCGATTGATATTACAGAATGAACCTTGATGTGTTATCTTGTTAATATAAAGATTATAGCCATGATTTAGTCTGTCTGTTTGGCTGGTTTTCTCATTGGCAGTAATTATCTTTAAATATTTGAAGTGTATTTGATAGCGCTTTCAAGATCATGAATAAAATTCGAGATGAAAATTTTTAATATCCAAATTTTAAAGCGATGAGATGCGATGAGCTTGAGACTAAATAGTTTATCTAAGAGCTAATATAAAGAATGATTGTTTGACTGCATAGTGTTTTTAAGTTATATGATTGCTACCACATAGAATATCAATAGGTTAAAATACCCAAAGTATAATGAGAGTAAGAAAGAGAACCTCGAGAAGAACCTCTACCCGTATGAGGGAAGGTATTAAGAAGAAGGCTGCTGCTCAAAATAGAAAAGAAAAAAAATTGGCCAAGAAAGACCCAACATGGAAGTCTAGAGCCAAGAAGGACCCTGGTATTCCAGCCAGTTTTCCTTATAAGGCCAAGATTTTAGAAGAGATTGAAGCCAAGAAGTTGAAGGATCTCGAAGAAAAGGAATTAGCTAAACAACAAAGGATGGAAGCCAAGAGAAGAGCACAAGAACTTGGGGAATTAGATATGGATGCTGACTTAGAAGAAGAGGAGGATGCTGGTAATGGTTTGACTGCATTGATGGAATCAGCCCAACAGGCGGCTATGGCTTACGAAGGCGATAATGGCCAGGCTTTTGGCACTGAAGGTGATCTAGATATTGTTGATCATGACATCGATTTCTTTGCAGGATCTGAAGAAGGTGACACTGAATTAGAACAATCA